GGTGTTTGCTTGGTGTTCCTGCATAGTGGGAACTGGTAATGGAACAGTACACCGGCCTTGGAATCCCACCACATGCCCACTCTTCATTGTGTACCTTGCACTAGGAGAATGGCAGCTGGAAATTGGAAGCTTGTCATTAACCTGCCTCTTTCCTGTCTCAGGTGAAAGTATTGGCCGTGGCACCAGAGTCATCCTGCACCTGAAGGAGGACCAGACCGAGTACCTGGAGGAGAAGAGGGTGAAGGAGGTTGTGAAGAAACATTCGCAGTTCATTGGATATCCCATAACACTCTATGTAAGTAGCTTCTTAAACCTTACACCTGATCTGTCTGTATAGCTCGCTCAGCCAGTATAGTGTTGCTGGGAAACTTTTGATTTACAAAGTGTAGAAACGTGTGATGGCCGCATTCCTAGTACAGCAAATCATGCAACTCGTACCTTCGCCCTATAACTGACCTGCTATTGAGCAAGCTTGTAGATCTAGGCCGGGGGTCGGCAGTCTTGGCACTCCGGCAAATTTCATAATGCCTTTAACTGTCAGCCTTGCAGTGCCTCTTGGGAATTGTAGTTCAACAGCTGGGAGTGCCATTGCCTTCCCTTGATCTAGGCTTTCACTCCATGGCCCTGCTGTTCTATATGGTTACTTTGCTTTCCCTAAATTTCCTAGCTATTGCTTTGTAACGATCTTCAGCAAAACGCCTCTATGGCAGTTCACAACTGCGCAATGTAACCAGTCAGAGGTCCTTGGAGGGGATCTTCTGTCATGTATAGGATGTTGGCTTTCAGTAGGAGGTCACTTCTCTATGTAGGAAGATTCATCTGGTGTATATAACATTTTGGCATAGAACACCAACACTTGAGTTGGAAAAAGTCCAGCGGAGGGCAACCAAACTAATTAGGGGTATGGAGGACCAGAGCTACGAGACGCGGCTACTAAATTTAAACATGTTCACATTAGAGGTGAGGAGATTGAGGGGGGATATGATTTCCATGTACAAAATGTTCAATGGTGGCAGCAACATTAGCGATAAACTGTTTAAAATTAACTCCATTACAAAAACTAGGCCACCACCTAAAATTGGTGGAAAAAAAATTCCAGCACAAGGGGCGAAGGGGGTTCTTCACAGTAAGATCAGTTAGGGTCTGGAACTCATTGCCACAGGCGGTGATTTCAGCAAAGAATGTGGAATTGTTCAAGAAACTTTTGGACGATTTCTTAAGGGACCGTAATATACAGGGGTACAGGTACTCCTAGAATGAGATCCTAATAGGTTGGACTTGATGGACTAATGTCTTTATTCAACCTCAAATACTATGTAACTATGTAACACTGTTCTTTCCCCTAAAAAGATGCTGAAGGGTAAAGTGTTCCACATGGCTTAGGCAGGTTAAAGGTGGTCCAGCTTTTGTTCTAGAGCCTGGAATGGGGGTAGTTGGTAGAGGAAGGGTGAGAACATCAATGTTGAGCAGATTGCTGCAAACATCTGAAGAGCTCTTTCCTTGTGACTGGTCTTCATTTGGGGTATCCTTCATAACATTTCGGTCAGGGACTGCATAGGGAGTTCAGAGTAACTCTGGTGATGGCTTGTGTTCTTCCTGGTAGCTGGAGAAGGAAAGGGACAAGGAGATCAGCGATGATGAGGCTGAGGAGGAGAAGGAAGAGGAGAAAAAGGATGAGGAAGCCACTGAAGACAAACCTAAGATAGAGGATGTGGGCTCCGATGAGGAAGAGGAAGCAAAGGACAAAAAGAAAAAGACCAAAAAGATTAAGGAGAAATATATCGATCAAGAGGAACTGAACAAGACCAAACCCATCTGGACTCGCAACCCCGATGACATCAGCCAGGAAGAGTATGGAGAGTTCTACAAGAGCTTGACCAACGATTGGGAGGACCATCTGGCTGTGAAGGTGAGCAGTTGTGTTGGTGGATTAATAAAAGGGGTCTTTGTTCTGTCCACATCCCCTGTACCCATGCTTCTAAGAATGCATTGAAATGATAACTTGCCATTCTTTCTCCAGCACTTCTCTGTGGAGGGTCAGTTGGAGTTCCGGGCTCTCCTCTTCATTCCTCGCCGTGCTCCTTTTGACCTGTTTGAGAACAAGAAGAAAAAGAACAACATCAAGCTTTATGTGCGCAGAGTGTTCATCATGGATAGCTGTGACGAGCTTATCCCAGAGTACCTGAGTAAGTGTCCGGTGTGCGCTGCCCTGTCCCATCTGCTTTGGTTAATGGAAATTCTCAGGGTTGAGATGAGGGAAGCTATTTTAAGGTGTATGCTCTAGGTGGCCATCCTTGATCAACCTGGAACAAGCCTGTGACACTGGAAATGCTCATGCCTATTCCAGGTCACTTGGTGTGAAGATATAGAGGACGCAGCAGTTGGGCAATTTGCACTTGATGTAACTTGAGGTGGGACTTGTCTTAGAAAAATACTGAAGCCTGTTGTGCGGCAGGGTTGTCATCTGAGGAGGAAGTGTGCACTTTTCTTGGAGATCCCATGCTAACCAACCATCTTTTTATATTTTAGACTTCATCCGTGGTGTGGTGGACTCAGAGGACCTTCCTCTGAACATCTCCCGAGAGATGCTGCAGCAAAGTAAAATCCTCAAGGTCATCCGTAAGAATATGGTGAAGAAATGTCTAGAGCTCTTCACTGAGCTGGCCGAGGACAAGGAGAACTTCAAGAAGTTTTATGAGGCTTTCTCAAAGAATCTGAAGGTGAGCTGGAGACACTGTTTGTGCTTCAGAGCCGCACATTGATCTCTAGAACCCCGGCATGCAACTGGAAGGTGGGGAGGAGTAGTGTCCCTTCCTGCACTTCTGTAGACCAAGGAACCAGAAGTCCTCTTTAAAGTCTAAATATTTTTTTTAATTCTAATACAGATTTTGCTATTGTAAGCAATATATAGCGATCTGGGAATAACTAGCTCTGCCCATGGTGCAGTAGTGACTTCTCACTTCTTACAGTTTCTATATTTATAAGTAGAGCTAAATGTTTTCATTTCAGTCTGACCTCTGGCCTTCCCCTCAGTCTTGCACAGTTGTACTGGCTTCTGTATTTATAATGGCTTCCTCTGATGTCACTGCATGCTGTAGTCAGAGCCAGTCATTTCCTGGCTGAAGGACATCCAGTATGATCTAGCTCTTTCCTCCTTGGCCTGCCCCTCTTATTGGATTTCTCCCATGAGCAGCCTATGGTGAAATCTTTACACGGACCTCCGTCAGCCTGTAGGTTTATATCTGTCATTGAGAAGGGTTAGGCTTCTTCTGCTGGTCTGACAAGTTTCCCCCTCTTCTAGCTGGGCATCCATGAAGACTCTACAAACAGGAAGAGGCTGTCAGAACTCCTGAGGTATCACACTTCTCAGACTGGAGATGAGATGGCTTCCCTCACAGAATATGTCTCTCGTATGAAGGAGACTCAGAAGAGCATCTACTACATCACTGGTGAGACTTGTGCTGGGTGATTGTGGTAGAGGAAACATGGGGGGGATATAGGAGGATAGGAAGCTGACTTCTGTGTCTGATCCCACAGGGGAGAGCAAGGAACAAGTGGCCAACTCTGCCTTTGTGGAGCGTGTGAGGAAACGTGGCTTTGAGGTTGTGTACATGACCGAGCCAATCGATGAGTACTGTGTACAGCAGCTGAAGGAGTTTGATGGCAAGACTCTGGTCTCTGTGACCAAGGAGGGTCTGGAGCTTCCTGAAGATGACGAGGAGAAGAAAAAGATGGAGGAGGACAAGACTAAGTTTGAGGGTCTGTGCAAACTGATGAAGGAAATCTTAGACAAGAAAGTGGAAAAGGTGAGAAATAGAACTGCTTCAATGTTCTGTGCTGGATTTGCACATTTTTTAGATGCTTCTTGTTCAATGTCAGACTAGAGACCTCATTATTCTAGCGCTCGGCTGCCTTTCATACTCCTAACGCGTTTTTAATCCTTCTCTGAAAGGTAACCGTCTCAAACCGCCTGGTGTCCTCCCCTTGCTGCATTGTGACCAGTACATATGGCTGGACAGCCAACATGGAGCGTATCATGAAGGCCCAGGCTCTTCGGGACAACTCCACCATGGGCTACATGATGGCCAAGAAACACCTGGAGATCAACCCCGAGCACCCCATTGTGGAGACCCTGAGACAGAAAGCTGAGGCTGACAAGAATGACAAGGCTGTGAAGGACCTGGTGGTGTTGCTGTTTGAGACCGCTCTTCTGTCCTCCGGATTCTCCCTGGATGACCCCCAGACACATTCCAACAGAATCTACAGAATGATCAAGCTAGGCCTGGGTGAGTAGATGGGACGGTTCTGTCACAGTCCAGTATTTGACTTTAGGAAACTTTTTTTTTTTCTTTAGCATTGGTAGCACATGTCGCAAGTTAGGATGCCCCTTCCAGACTGCACCTTCCTTAGACCAGTATTATGCCTGCTGAGCAGGAAACTGACCGCTGGCCATTTGCAGCTTGTGTAGCACATTGAAGCATTTGGTCTCTGATGCCTGAGCGCAGCAGTGAGAGGAATCTGATTCCCACTGGAGACTTGGAAGATCCTGTCTTTTGGGTAGAATTGCCTTGCTGTGTGATGGTGCCCTACCTGGGTCCAGTCTAAAAATTTAACTGCTCTGCCCTTTAACTATGCTGTCCAATTTTCTAAGCCGATGTGTTCTCTGGCCCCTGATGTGAGTACAGACTCATTTTTTTAGTTGCTGTGGAACAAATCTGAACCAGGAATACATGACTCTTCCCATGATGCACTGACATTGCAGCACTAGAGGGGATTGCTTTGGTAGGCAAGACTTTCATGATGTGTGCTGTGCATACTAACCTATTATGGCTAAATGTTGCTGGGGGGGCCCCCTATGTTTTTGGTGGCTGTTTGCTGTAGCAGGATGACTGTTATTGGTTGCTGTGTCTTTGACTCCCCGCTGTCATCTGAACTCTTGCAGGAATTGATGAAGATGAACCTGCAATTGAGGAAACCACTGCAGTTGTACCAGACGATATCCCCCCTCTGGAGGGCGAGGAAGATGCATCCCGCATGGAGGAGGTGGATTAACGTGCTTGTTCCCTCCTTTACCCCAACCCCCCTGTGTCTGAATGCTCTTCCGGGGGAGCCTGCTACTCAGACTGTAGACTGATTCCCATTCCTGGGGGTGTAAAGGGACAGTGGCTGCTAAACCTTCTCTACCCCATGGTTAATTTGCACTGCAGTATGCCCTGTGTGGGTTGGGGGCTGTAATTTACCTTGTGCCCCTGTTGTACACCCAGATCATCACCGGATGTGTGGCCCCTCCACCTGGCACGGCACTTGTCCCCACGACTGGATTCATAAGCTGCTGGAATGTTGTTGTTTTTTTTCCCCGGCCAGTGTATGAAGTCCTGGAGAAAGGACAATCATTTGTGTATATTTGTAGAGCTTATCATTCCCATTGCCCGTGCCTGGTCCTTCGCTGCCCCCACAGTGCCCTCAGGAAGTCCCAGAATGCTCATGTTTTTTGCAGTCACGTCAGAATTGTGTTCAAATTTATTTTGTAAGTTTTGTTTCGTTCGTAATCATATTCATTATGCAAAATAAAGTCCTTTTTACAGTGTTCTCTGCTTCACTTGTAAGCTGTCCATGGGAGAGTCTGGGTGATGCATGTCCAGCTCATGCAACGAGACCAGTAACTGTTTAACAAGTACTTGGTTTGGCCAACAAACTATTGGACATGGTGTACGTGCCCTCGCGCTGTGCAATTATGGACATGGTGTACGTGCCCTCGCGCTGTGCAATCATGGACATGGTGTACGTGCCCTCGCGCTGTGCAATCATGGACATGGTGTATGTGCCATCGCGCTGTGCAATCATGGACATGGTGTACGTGCCCTCGCGCTGTGCAATTATGGACATGGTGTATGTGCACTCGCGCTGTGCAATCATGGACATGGTGTACGTGCCCTCGCGCTGTGCAATTATGGACATGGTGTACGTGCCCTCGCGCTGTGCAATCATGGACATGGTGTAAGTGCCCTCGCGCTGTGCAATCATGGACATGGTGTATGTGCCATCGCGCTGTGCAATCATGGACATGGTGTACGTGCCCTCGCGCTGTGCAATTATGGACATGGTGTATGTGCACTCGCGCTGTGCAATCATGGACATGGTGTACGTGCCCTCGCGCTGTGCAATCATGGACATGGTGTACGTGCCCTTGCGCTGTGCAAGCTTGGGATACGGTGTATGTGCCCTTAAAGAGAATTATGGGGTCCGTGTTTTTCCCCATAGTTCTCGGGGTCGCGGGAGGACAAACTAGCGTCCTTCCGTCACCCAAAGCTCAGTATACCACGAGCTACGGCTTGCGGTATACGGAGACCGCCGCAGCTGAGACGGATCCACATTGGAGGAGCTGCATTCAATCAGCACTTCCTTCTGAAGACTCGCTCTGTGATTGGGCTGAGCATTGGCTACTACCTCAGACATGGGTTGCTGGGTGCCCTTTAAAATTCCCTATTTCCTCCATGCTAAGGGTTCCGTGATGTGGGAGTAAGTGATGTCATTCGCTGGGTGCAGTGTCGTGCTTGCACGCTCAACGCTGTTTTCCACAATACAGCGTCGGGAATATCTGCAGAAAATACATGGAGACCGCTGGACTTAAAGGAGAACTATGAGGCGAGTGCTTTAAACTCACCTCATAGTTCTAGCCGACCTGTGACAATGAGACTGCCACAGGTCGGCTCAGTAGATCGGGAGGTGAGAGAACACATACCGGCGTTCGCTCACCTCACGATCCTGTCACGGCAGGGGCTGGATTCCCCCTCCAGCGCTGACTGGCGGAACGGATGGGGGAGAGGGCGGGTACAGCTGGCTCTGCCACTAGATAGGCAGAGATAGCTGTCAGTCACGCAGGGCGTATCCCGGCACAGTTGTTGGGATCCGCTTCAGCTGCGGTGTCTCGGTATACTGAGCCTAGGGTGACGGGAGGACGCTAGTTTGTGTCCTCCCGTTACCCTAAGGAGAACTATGGGGAAAAGCCTTGACCCCATAGTTCTCAAACTATATTTTTCTTACACGTTTTGCTAGTCATCCGACTGGCATTTTGGAAGCTAGTCGGATGACTGATAATGTCAAAGATACAGAAAGTCCAGTTGGTTTAGGTCTATTTTCTACAGATATACTATGCCTTGGATGAGTGAGAACCTTCAGAATGCGGCAAGGAAGTGTTTCCCTCGCTGCTGTTCTGTTTTGCATGGAAGTTTGACCTTCGGTACATTCCTCCTGTCTGCCTACATTGACGCTCCTCACCTCCAGCCACTCGACCCTGCTTGGTTGCCAGCTGTCTACTTGATGCCTTTCCTTGTACCTGGGTGCCTTAAAGGAGAGCTATGGGGTCAGTGTTTCCCCATAGTTGTCAGGGTAACAGGAGGACACAAACTAGCGTCCTCCCGTCACCCTAGGCTCAGTATACCGCGAGCTGTAGCTCATACTATACTGAGACGCCGCAGCTGAAACGGATCCCGACAATTATTTCTAGATCCACCCAGCTGCGTGACTGACAGCAGGCTCTGCCTATCTACAGGCAGAGCCAGCTGTACCCGCCCCCTCCCTGTCTGTTCCACCAGTCAGCGCTGGAGGGGGAATCAAGCCCCTCCCCTGTCACAGCTCTCTGCAGTGATCGAGAAGTGAGCGTGCGACGGTATGTGTTCGCTCACCTCCCGATCTACTGAGCTGACCTGTGACAGTCTGTCACAGGTCGGCTACAGCTATGAGGTGAGTGAAAAGCCCCTCCCCTTGTAGTTCTATAACCCCTTCATGACCGAGGCTTTTTTCCAATTTTTGCACCCATGTTATATTCCACATTTTAGGCCTGAAAGTAATGTAAAACCCCCAAACATTATATATTTTTTAAAAGCAGAGACCCTGTAGAATAAAATGGTGGCGGTCGCAAATTTTTATGTTACACGATACTAGCGCCTCTCATCAAACCTGAAAATTTAGTGAAAAATGCACTTAAATGCCTAAAAATACAATTTAAAATATAACAGATGAGGTTAAATCGAGTAAATAGATACCCAACATGCCCGGGTTAAAAATTGTGTGCGTCTGTGAAACGGCGACAAAATTCAGTACCCCAAGAAGTTCATAGACTATGCTTTAAAAGGAGAACTAAGGGGTCAGGCTTTTCCCCATAGTTCTCCTAAGAGTAACGAGAGGACACAAACTAGCGTCCTCCCGTCACCCAAAGCTCAGTATATAGGGAGCTACAGCTCGCGGTATACTGACACGCCGCAGCCGGGACTTATCCTGACATTACTGTTGAGATCCACCCAGCTGGGTGAGTGACAGCTGGCTCTGCCTATCTAGAGGCAGAGCCAGCTGTGCCTTCCCCCGTCCGTTCAGCAAGTCAGCGCTGGAGGATCAGAGCGGGGAGGGGGAACTCTGCAGGGAGCAGTGAGTGACAGTCACGGATGATGAAGTGAAAATCACTCGTCTCATACTTCTCCTTAATGGACTCCAAGAAAAGGGATGTAATGTGAGTAGAGAAATGCAGCGCCTGTGTAATCCCTGAAACTAAGATCTGAGAAAATGTTATCGGCCTTCCCAGGTCTATATGTGAACTACAGAACAACTTCTATGTGATGGAGCTAAGGACCGTATTCTGCAGTCCTGTCAGGTTGACAATGTTGCTCCTCCGTCGGTATAGTATGGTGAGTATTGTCACCCGATGACAGGAAGTGTTACTGGCAGGATAACAAGGTGATAAAAAAAGTTGGTCAGACTGGCTGCAGTCACTGTATTTGAAGACCCCCTTATAAAAAAAAACCCCCCCTCCTAGAAGACCCCTTTATTCAGAACACCCCCTCCTAGAAGACCCCTTTATACAGAACACCCCCCCCCTCCTAGAAGACCCCTTTATACAGAACACCCCCCCCCTCCTAGAAGACCCCTTTATACAGAACACCCCCCCCCTCCTAGAAGACCCCTTTATACAGAACACCCCCCCCCTCCTAGAAGACCCCTTTATACAGAACACCCCCCCCCTCCTAGAAGACCCCTTTATACAGAACACCCCCCCCCTCCTAGAAGACCCCTTTATACAGAACACCCCCCCCCTCCTAGAAGACCCCTTTATACAGAACACCCCCCCCCTCCTAGAAGACCCCTTTATACAGAACACCCCCCCCCTCCTAGAAGACCCCTTTATACAGAACACCCCCCCCCTCCTAGAAGACCCCTTTATACAGAAGAACTACTAGTTCCAGCATGCCAGGCGGCGGTGTATTTTTATTTTGCAGTTTCTTAGCACTGTACTCAATAACACGGTGAGAGCAGCTACCATCTTGTAACCATTAGAGGGCACCCTCTGCCTTCACCTTCCCATTTACACCATTCTGAAAACCTTGGCAACACAGAAAGCTGTGAGAGGAGAGTTTTGTATAAAAGGGTCTTGTAAGGGGGTGTCCTGCACAAAAACGTCTTCTAAGAGGAATGTTCTCTATAAAGAGGTCATCTAGGAGGGGTGTTCTCTATAAAGTGGTCATCTAGGAGGGGTGTTCTCTATAAAGAGGTCATCTAGGAGGGGTGTTCTCTATAAAGAGGTCATCTAGGAGGGGTGTTCTCTATAAAGAGGTCATCTAGGAGGGGTGTTCTCTATAAAGAGGTCATCAAGGAGGGGTGTTCTCTATAAAGAGGTCATCTAGGAGGGGTGTTATCTATAAAGAGGTCATCTAGGAGGGGTGTTCTGTATAAAGTGGTCATCTAGGAGGGGTGCTCTCTATAAAGTGGTCATCTAGGAGGGGTGTTCTCTATAAAGTGGTCATCTAGGAGGGGTGTTCTCTATAAAAAGGTCATCTGGGGGGGGG